GGGGTGGTGGCAGGTACTGCGCGGGGCCTACCAGTTGTGTCGCATCTGTGCGAAATCGCTCTTCCTTTTTGATTTCCCCAGCGTTTTTCTGGTGTAAGGAGCTGCAGCGTTCGAGTTTGGCACCTCCAGGCCGTGCTGGTGAGCGGCTTTGGTGTTGCTGGCGGTGTTCCTCCCCGAGCTGCCTCTCGTCGCTGCACAGCGATGGCTTTGACATTGAATTTCGAAGGAAATCTCGCTTCTGCTCCATCGTGGGAGCGACCGTGGCTGCCTGTGCCAGCCCACAGCCCCGGCTGCGTGCTCGGGGGGCAGAGAGCGAGCCGTCCTGCTCCGCCTGGGTGGCGACAGCCTCACGTTCGCGCTGCCCACGGCGTGAGGGGTCCCTGCTTCAGAAACCGGAGCGTTTCAGCTAAATCCGCCGGGTTTTCTCAAAACCTCGGCTGTCAGCTGGGGGGGAGCTTTGTTCACAGGCACCCGCGCGTTTTTGGGACCTGGCCTGAGCTCGGCCTCTCCAGTGAGAGCATTCCTGGCGAACTCCACACTTCCTAAAACGCTGTCCCGGCTTGCGCAGCGCAACAGCGATGATGAGTGAACGCCCGGCAAGGCGAGAACGTAATTTGTCGTAACCACACGCGTTATTTGTTAACTCGTTATGAAAAACGCTCCTTAATTAACTGGTGGCCTGCAGGAAGGTATTTACTGGCGTGTTCACACCAGTATGGCTTCCCCGGTGGAAACGGTTGTTCCAGAAGAGCTGCCCAAAGATGCGCTTTGAGGTTTCTGGTAGCATCTCCCCGCGGACTCAGCCTCTTCGCTGACCCCTGGGAGAGGAGGGGGGGAGCAGCGTTTCCCAGGGGTTTGGCACTGATGGAATAATTGTGTTTTTTCTACGGGGCGTGCGATTTCGGCACTTCACCTTTTTTTACGTACGGGCTCACAGCTTTCGCTTGGGAAAAAAAAAGAAGGGGGAAGTCGTGGTCGGCTCTTCCCCTCTCGCAGCTGCTGGGTGCTCCTCCTTGCCCTCGGCTTCACGCTCGAGTGGTGAACGTCGGCGAGTGAGAGGGCCCTTGGCAGAGGGGGGTGGAGGGGACTGGGTCACCCCCAAAGTCATCACCCCGTCTGCACCCGCGGCAAGGCGGGGGGTGTAAAAA